GCCAAAATGGCAATCTTTAAACCCCCGCAATTTTACAAAAAATGGTCATAGGTAAAATATCTTTTCAAATATGAGCTTAAGACAACAATACCTTTCGAATGATATATAAAAAAAGCTAGTTAAAAAGTCGAAATTTGTCTGAAGAAAAAAAAACCCACCCCGAGCACAAATATTCCGTTACTTTCGTTACAATTATCGATTATAAAGGATTTGGATGCAGATTTTTTGACAATCTAAAGTGATTTCAATTATCCAATTTAGTTTTTTATAAGATTTTTTATCGATGTTAATAAACATTTTTTCTTAAGAACTTAACATTTTATGGTCATTATAATCTCATAACAATCTTATACAATTTCGTAATCCTTAATAAAAACCTCCTTAAACTCTTTAAAAGCAATTGTTTTAATTTATTCTGCCAAAAAACTGTCACACCAAAAAATTGTGTGGTGTTCTTTTCATGTTAGTTGAAAGATTGACTCCTACAAATTATTCTTCGAACATAAATGATGAGCTTGTATTTTGGTAATAAAAAACGTGCATCATGAACAAAACTCAATTGAGAAAAAAATTAGAAAACATAGAAATTTTGTAAATCTGCTAGTGCACATATCACGCGCATAAAATAATGAATTAGAACCTGAATGTTAATTCTAGTGTTCCGCATTCAAGCATATACTTAAATTATTGATTATAAAGGATTTACATGCAGATTTTTTGACAATCTAAAGTGATTTAATTATCCAATTCAGTTTTTTCTAAGATTTTTTATCGATATTAATCATCGTTTTTTCCAAAGAACTTAAATTTTTATGATCATTATAACCTCATAATAACCTTTCATAGTTTCATAATCTTTAAAAAACCTCTTTAAAATCTTTAAATCAATTGTTTCAGATTATTTTGTCAAAAAATTGTCATACCAAAAAGTTTTGTGATTTTCTCTTCATGTTAGTTGAAACATTACCGCGGTAGGCAAAACAAAATCATCTCCGAGCTTAACCAATTGGCTCGTTTTTTGGTGGTAAAATTTTTATCATGAACAAAACTTAGCTAAGAAAATTAGAATAAAAAAACGTAGTAAATTGAAACTGATTTGAAAACTGCTGATTTTCAAAATTTTCACAAGAACCAATTTCTTTGAAAATGCATAATTTTTAGACTTTTTAGTGCAAAGCTCAAACGAAATAGCCAATGAAGGTGTTTATAACCCATTATAATCATTTATAATGGAATTTTGTGCACAACAAAAGGTGGAAATTGATATGAAATTAACCAATCATATTCAATTATAGCTGTAATAAATTAACAGATGGACTTTTAATCTGTTATAATCTATTGAAAGTATTGATAAAATAAAATTTTATGATATGAAAAAGAGAGATTATATTCAATGATTGTTGGATTAGAGTAGTTTTATCCTCAATTTTAGAAAACCTGGTGCAAATCAACAATGCAATCGATTGTTAACGCTTGAAAACGCATGCGTGGTTGCACTAGTTGTAAAAAAAAATTCAAGATTGGCTGACTTTTTCTCGATTTTTGAAATGGCCTAATTGATCTTAGTCTCTTTTTTAACACTGAACGACGCCATTTTTCAAAAAAAAATAACAGTCCGCAGAGCAATTTTTTTCAAAACAAAATCAAAAATTTGTGTTTATTGGCTCTGACAAAAAATACAGTTCTGAAATTTCATTTCTTCTTCGTTTGCTGTAATTTGCAATTAATTGTAAATCAAAACTTCTCAATTGTGTTTTTCGTTGGACACTGTGATTGGAATGAACTTTTTGGGCTGCTTTCCAATCCACTTTGTTGTTCTGAAGCATGTTTGTGATATTCGAGGTGTCTTTGCTTCTCCAGGAAAATTTCGACTCTCTATCCCGTTCCGAACAAAGTTCTTTATTTCTGGCAAAAATATTTTTGTAACCTAAAAATCCGGCCATAATTTTTTTTGAATTTCTGAAGCACGGATGTTTCAAAAAAAATTGAATTTTTTTGGCCAATTTTAACCAGAGATTAGCTTAACTTAGATTATTTTTTAGCTAAAATCTTGTTTTGAGTCTTTTTTGTTTCACCAATCTATTGCAAAAAACACTTCTTATAACAACAAAGGTAAACTTGCATTGTATTGCTACAACCATTGTGTAAAATCGAAACATGTAAAATCAACGTTTATCTCGTTGCACATGGGCAATGAACTGATTTTAATTTACTCCTGTAGAAATTGTATATTTCTAATCTTAAATGAGAAAAAAAAATCAGTAACAAAAATTAGTTTAGATTATCAATATAAAATTTCTACCCAAACTAGCAGTCTCATACTAAAAATTTTCTATCAGCTGACAAGTATTTTGTACGGAGCTTAAATTTAAAAATATGTATATTTCGTGATTTTTTTAAAAAGTTATGCGAGTTTACAAACTGCCAGCTTGGACCAATTGGCATAATTATTGCGCGATTTATTTCGTGGTATTAGCGCGTAAGCTGAGATTTAGAAGGTCCTGGAAATCGTTCCACGGGAAAATTGGGCCTGCTTTTTGGTTTATTTAATTCTTTGCTGTATGCAAAATTTATCTTTCTGTACTAAACATAGCGTATGGGGCATGGTTTTCAAAACATTAAAAAAGATTTTTTTAAATTTTTTTTTAGAGTTTTGTTAATTTTTGACAGCGAACACTACTCCATGGACCTTAAAAGGCCTTAAAATACACCTTAAAATTGCACTTACTTTATGCTGGCGAAACTTATCTTATTTTTTTTACATAACCAAATTTTGTTCAGAAATCAAACTTGTAAATTCGAGAACAGATGGAAAATCAGACTGCCCTGATAAAATAAAATTAGGGCGGATTATCACAGAAGACCCATTTTTGCATGTTTTTGCTACTAAACGGTCCATCGTATATTTACAAAAGTAAAAATGAAACTAGTTATAGCATTCATAACTTCGGCTTTATTTCATGTATCGATTGGTTCGGCTAATGATCACTGTAGCTATACACAATTAATAGGAGGATGGAGTCATCCGACAGAACTGAATTATACCCAAAGGTTGTCGGCCAACAGGGTGTTGAGAGAGGAGGGATTCGACCGTGGGTTTGTTGACATTCAGCTCGTGAGAGAGCAACTAACGGGTAATGGTGCCGTGAACTACCTGATGCAGGTGAGTGAATTGTCAACCCGGATAGGCTTTCATGATGAGGTTGGTTTAGTGTACGTTTAAAAAACATTTGATTTTTGTCGACTTTTTGTTTTGTAGACCAAATTGCTTTTTCGAGCTGCCAAAAACCTTTTTTCAGACAAAAAAATTAAAAAATTTTTTGCAAATGTCAGCAAGATTTTTTTAAATACTTTTTTGCTGCGATCACTAAAGTTTTGGTTACGATTTAGAATAAAATGATTATTAGAAAGAATTTTACGTAGTGAAGAGGTCAAAATAGAAAAAAATGGGTTTCCACTACCGATCGACGCCAAAATCCAAGTTCTCAGATTTCTATGTTGAACTTTTGTAGATATTTTGATGTTATATATGTGAAGTTTCTGAGATGGATCAATAAATTAGTCTTGTCGACGTAAAAAAAATCCAGCGGATCCGCGCCTTGTTGCAGGTTTGGAAAAGACACTATCTAGATAAATCTAGATAAAATCTAGATAAAAATCTAAATGATTTAGACAATCTAGATAAAATCATAGAAAACTTACAGGAAATCGAATGTAGTGTCACTATAAAAATTGGATTCCAAGAAATCAAAGCAGTGTCAAAACATTAGAAAAAAAACAGCACTCGTCCGTTTTTAGACAAAATGAAAGAAAATTTACGATAACAAGCATTTGTCGATGAACTCTCAGTATAATTTTCTTGCAATTTGCACAATAATTTAACTATTATATTGTTTTTCTAGACTAATTCTATTACTTTTTTACTGGAAAAAAGCAATAGGAAATTTAGTTTAAATTCAAAAAAGAACTTTGGTGAATTTCTTTTAAGTTCATTGAATGTGGTCGAAACATTTCTTGCTAATTGCGCTGTCGCCGACTATCTATGTTACTAAATGCTCTTTACCCATACAATAATGACTAAACTATGAGTATCAAACTATTTGTGCGGAAGATTTTGAAAAAAGGTGACATTTTGATAAAATTTTCTGCAGGTGATGACGGTGGACTTCCAAAAATTGAAGATACAATTTGTTTCTTCTCCGTATTGGGGAACATTCATTACACAGGACACAATGGATGACAAGGATTGTCTAGATCCGATTGAGTAATGAGTTATAATTACAATTCAATGTCAGACTGATCTTTAAAATGGCGGAGATGAAAGTTCGAAGTGTTGTTGTTGATGTTATGGGTAAAAAAAATAATTCAGAATTTAATCATTGCAGAAGAATTATGATACACTCCTACTTTAAATTGTGCGTTTTCAAATATTATCAACATGATATCACCAAACTTAAGCTCCTCGGCTCTTCTACTCCCCCACCCCCCCCCCCCCCCCACCAACACCACCCCCACCAGATATAAAAATCAGTTTTACGGTGTTTTTAACTTTACGAGGTTGTATATCAGGAAAAATTTTATTTGTAGTTGGGTACTTAATTGGGTACTTAACTGTGTCAACTGTTTCAATTTACAAAACATTGATGAACAAAAACACACAAAAAAGACTGAACTCATATAAACCCGGGTTGACGTCCATAGCAGAAAAATACTTTTCATAGAATTTTATATATGGCGTCTATGGAGAAAATGCTTATCATACAATTTTCATACAAAATTTAAAAACTGTTTTAAAGATTTATAATGAAGATTTTTGGTCTACTTGCCTCTTTTGAAGCTTTCTGGCCATTAAAAAAAATGATTGAAAATTTGAACTAAAAAATGCTTATCATAATCATACAATTTTCAGGTATGAAAATTGTATGATAACCATTTTGTCATAGAAAAAATAAAGTTTTCAAAAATTAATTTAGTATTAAAAATCAGCGAAGAAAACTTACCTGACGAAGAAAAAATATGTCTGTTCACACATACTCAATTGATTTAAAATGAATTTAAGGAGAGTTCGCTTCAAAAGAATCATTCCAAAAAGCAAGTAAAATTTTTTATAGCTGAATGGTAAGATGCAACATATGGAATTTTTTGTGAGAATGCACAATATTTAATGAAAAATATATGCCAGCTACTTCAAACATGTATGTTAATAGTTGCAGCAAATGTGTCCAGTCAGTTTGAAAAAAACTAAAAACACTGTGAAAAAACACTTGTAATGACCTCAGAGTTCATCACTCCAATATTTTGTTCTGTCCCTTCAATTGAGATTGGATCAGTGATTCAATCTTTTAACCTGATTTGTAATTCTCCGATGATTTTTTTCGGAGCCATCGAGTGAAGAAATGCATTCAAGACCTTGTATCCGTTGCTTGCCAAATAAAAACTTGGGAGCAAAACTTGGCGTCGAGCAAGGTTTGATTTGTAATTAAAGTGAACCAAAAAAAAATATTCGACTTAGTTAGAATCTGAAACAAAACCCTGCCAATTGAGTTAACAAAGTTTTCAGAAACCACTGAGACCTATGTTAATGCATATTTAACAATGAGCCCATCAATCATTTTGCCCTGCTTAAGCTTAGTGGCATATTTCTCCCAGCTCTTAAGATTTTTATCGGAAGCATCGGTTGTGATGATTCAAAGCTACGTAAGCTTCTGGATGTTGTTCAGCGAAAAAATTTCTGGCAGAATTTGAGAAGTTGCGTCAAAAAGCCGCGTTTTTGGTATGCACTGTCTGGTCCTAAAATAGTTTTAATTTAAGGACAAGTAGAAAAAAAACTCATGTGCCCATAGTGAGATAGTATCTAAGGGCCAGTCAACAATTGGTAAAAATGATTCAGAGAACGTTCTTAAGACTGGCGAAAAAACAAAAGCGAACAGTTTTTAAAAAATTAATTCAAACAAACTAACAAAATTATATTTTATTCATAGCAATTTTAACCATTGATTAAATCATTTTCACTAAATTAGTCAAAAAACAAATTGGAATAAACTTTGAATCCAAAAAGTTGCGTCTCGGAAGCTTGTCTGCTTGTATTTTGTTAGTTTGTCGTTCGTCAGCTGCTCTTTACAGTTCAAATTGTTAGTCACAATTGTTAATGCCAATTGTTAATGCTACTGTTATGATTCCAAATTGATTTTTACAACCTTCTCGACAAGCTAAACAGGACTGAGTACCATTATTTTTTAAAAGCAAGCTGAATTTAAAACGACGTTCAATATTAATACCTGTGCAATTCAATTAAAAGGAAACTTGGTAGTCAACAAAAAAGTGACCAAAAATGACCGTCTGAATGAAATATCGAGGCGGGTTTAAATTCATCGATTTTTTCACAAACCTTTTTTGGCATTAACAATCAATTAGCTACAAATGAATTATTACTTAATACACGGCCATGTTTATCAACGGCATGAATGATTCGAATCTCACAGTTGCTAAAAATGAACTAAATTTATGTGATTAATTAATCATTGCTCATTAGTTATAATTTTGGTTAGTAATTATCAGCACATCACAGTTCCTCGTACACTTCCCGGTTGAGTGCGTAGTGTACAACTAGGAAGCAGGCGGCGATGAAGCTGCAGCAGCAGGCCACCCATGCCAGGTAGTGAGCCCAGTCAGCACTCATCTGGACTCCCGCGTATTTCTCCTTCTGGCTCAGGAACATCACACACCCCGTAAACAACAGCATGCCTATAAACCAGAAAACAATGTTTTATGCTGAGAAAAAAGTCATCGTGACCTAAAAAACAAATCATTATATCATGAAAGCGTCCTAAGGTGTCGATTTGGGTGGGAGCTTTACGAAGACACATGGTAAAAGTTTTCGTTTCTGAACTCTGATTTAATGGTTAAATGCTATGCCGTTTTTTGTCCCAAATTTTGTAGTTCACAAGCAAACATTTTCCAAAAAGGCACCAGAAATAATGTTTTTTGGAAATAATCTTTTTCGGTTAACTTCTCAAAACTGCGTTTTTGGCGCATAAAAAATTGAGGCCAATTAGAGTTTATCTTGTCTAAATGAGTTTTTTCAATTGAACCCCTTTGACATTTGGGTGATTTGACCTGTACTGACCTTGTATGAAGCAGACGATGACTGTGACGAAGAGGGCGTACTTCCTGTTGTCTTGTCTGACCAGCATAAAAATGAGGCCGAAGATGAGGAGGAAAGTGACCAGTGTGATAATGCACCCCATACACATGAACACTTGGATACCTCGGAAGTATCCTATGCACAGACAAAAACAATAATTACTTCCAAAAGTGGTAGTCGATTTGATGTATGGACCGACCCTATGTCAACTTTCCCTAGCCAAAAGCCTAATCTAACTGCTTTAAAATTTTGACCTGCTTGATATATGATGGGCAGATCTCAAACAATGGTTTAATTAATATTGCCATTCTTTTACTGAAGCATTAGATGACCCGAGGTTTTGGCCGATGTGACAGTCAATGATCGACTAAAAATCTCTGGTAAAAAATTTCAATCGTCAATCTAAATCCCATCTGTAAGGACGACAAGATTTAAATCAGACAAGGTCATGAATCAGTTACAAAACAATCGGCAGCTTTTGTTTTCTGATTGAAACTTCACTTATGTTAGAGGTGACATTATTGTTCCGATCGTTTCCTAAAAAATTTAGCGCTAAAACTATCAAAAATATAAGATGCTAAACATATATTAAAAGAAGTGTGATATCATTTAGCTTAAACTCGTGTATATAGGTCTACAACCGTGCGTGGTATAGTTAAGACAAATGAGTTTTAATTAAGCAAGTGATTTTCCCAACCAATCTCAATTAATCGAAGAGAATATAACCTAGGCGTTTTTCTCCTCGGCATTTCCAAAACGTCGGTAAAAGGCCTGCAAGGTTATAGGTTTCTGTGACTATTTTACGACGCGGAAGCGCGACTTCCTATTTTACGATAACTTTTTTTTCTACAGTTGGTTGCTTTTTGAATATATGAGTTTTTTTCACCAACTTATCAAAAATTGGCCGACTAGCTCTAGAAAAAACTGATTAACGAAAACTAAAATGTTTTCCATCAAATCCAAGCTAAAAATTATTTTAGGACCGTGCTTAATCAAAAACTGCAAAATTTGAAACGCAATTTTTGAAATATTTAATTTCAATAAGGAGTGTTGCGACCTCATTTTTAGTTGGCTTCGATTTTCCTCGAAGGTGAGAAACAAGTATTAACTATTAGAACTGTGTTTTCTCTGAATTTTTTGAATTCGTTTCATCAACTACTACTGAAATTCCTAAACTGGGTAGATATCTAGTATAAGTAAACTAAACTAGTTTTTTTTTGCAATATCTGTACAGAAACCAAGTGATTCTAATCTAACTTTCGAAAGAAATAATCTCTACGTAAAGCTAAAATCAGATCACCAATTAATCAAGACATACTCGTTTTACATGCAATTGATTTTCATTAAGCTATACTTTGAAGCTATTGATTCTTTAATTGCAAGAACTCTTGAGCCTTATCAAGTCTTGTGGCTTAGCAGTTAACACTTTTGTCAAGCAAACATGAGATTGGTTTCTGGCAAAAAAAAAGTTTAAAAAAATTAATATAAATCTAGAAAATTTCTGAGCATTAGTCTGATCAAAAATGAAGAACTATTAGACAATCCAAGCTTTAAGTAAACAATTCTTAACGAGTTTCTGGCCGCAAATTTAGATTACAAATTAAGTTTTTCTCGTCAGAATTTAAAATTTCGATGCGGGTTGTTTATTGCTTACGATATCTGGACCTTTGTGTTTGATATCTTCACCAATATACGGCGTCAACAAAAATAATTGAAATAAACATTGCTTCTCGTACAACAGAAGTACATCCTGGATGCTTCGACTGCCCTTTAATTGGTCTCCGATAATTTTTAAAATTGTTACAATTTTAGTCTTAGGAAATATTTTGACCAGTTAGCTCGATTTCAATCCAGAGCAATTTTGTGAATGGGATGATAGCAGCATCATAGATTTAGTCTTTTCTTCAAACTTTTAAACGCACAGTTCACGTATAATTTTCGACTCAAGTGAATTAAGGATAGCACCAACACACCCGCTTGGGAATATAAAGATTCCAAAATCTTTCCCCAATCTTTAAATTTATCTCCCAGAAATTATTAGTCTGGATAAAAAAACACATCACAAAATTTCATTATTCAATTCCGTTTTCTTTGCTTTTTTGCTATCCTTCTCTCCCAATTTGCAAAGAATCGTATTTTTGATACTTATGAACGCACTTATACGCGGCGTGATTTCTGTTCAAACCATTTCAAAAAGGGGGAGGAAGTTTGTATTCGGGTGGTTTCGTTTTTTTTAACTTTAGTTTTTTGTTTTACACGCAAAATAAAGTACCAAAAACAAAAATTGGACTAGATTGAGTGATGTATCATACAAGAGTATTTTCAGTCGCGATTCGATCCACCCTAAAATCTTCTGAAAATGTTCCCCAGTGTTGAGAAAAACCGGTTTGAGGTGATTTTTCGTCTAATATCGAGCGCGAAAAGCAAACAAGCAGGCTTTTTTATGGTTAATTTAAACAGTTTATCATAAAACTATTTATGCTCACTTTTAATCTTAGTCGAGTAAGTCAGTTTTTGAAGCTATTAAACATTATTTTGGGAATCAAAAACTTCAAAAATCAAAAAAGAATTGTTTTATGAGTGTTTTTTTTTTTTCGTTTTCCAGTCATTTTTCTACAAAACTGTTGTCAAATTTGCCTAATTTACTATGACAATCGAGTTTGCCTAGCTTTTAGTTTTTTGTTCAGACCCTTTTATCAAACCACAGAGAAAAAAAACATACAACACCAATTTCAAAAAATTTTCTTTTATATATTTCTATTGTCGGAACATTCTGTGCTGTTTGCACAGTAGTCGGCTAATCTTGTTCTACTATGAGCTTTCAAGAAGAATCATAATAAATTTAATCAACAAGCAAACTTTCACTAAACTATCACATATTGATACATATTTATACAGTTTTTCCCAAATAAGGGGTGGGGGTTCGAAAAGAGCCAAAGGTCGAAACAATACCGGAATTTTATTGTTGGAAATATTCAACAATTTTGATAAAATTTTATGGACTTAAATTTCAAAACAAGAACTAGATTTGAGCTAAAGCAACGCCCCAGGTGTAGAATACCGTTCGAGTTTATAAAAGTTGTAATTTGAAAAGTTTTCAATCCTAAATATTTTCAAAATACCATACGAAATTCCTTACAAAAAATATCTACAAAACAACAAAATGAGGAGCAAATACAGGAGAGAATTTAGTGGGAGCTGAGACCAAGAGCTCCAGTTTCTTGGTTATTTTACATCCATTTTGAGTCAACGAGTTCATGGTAGTTTCACATGCATTATATCTACTAACTTTAAGGGAATAGCGTGGAAAAACTCTACCTGTTGGTCAAAACTTTTCAAGTATTTCATAAACGGAATTTTGGTACAGAAAATATTTCTGCAGCGCTAAAAAAAACTAAGCAAGTTACCGCCTTCATAAGATTCAGTCGACGGGAGTTATTCTGATGGGAGCACCAATTTCTCAATTACAAGGTTAATGTAATTTTGCACAATTTGAAAGAATGACATGACTATACGAATACTAGCAGTTTTGTTTTACAGTGGCAAAGCGCCAAATAATCTAGAAATTGTAAAAGATTATTGCCGAGCTGAAACTAAACAAAAACCAAACACGATGAAATCGTCTGAGAAGCAAACTTTACTGTGTCCACACTATATAAACAACTGTGCAGCAATCTGCTTTTCATTAAAAATAAATTAATACGCTCGAGAGTCTGTAATTTGATGCGAATTGGTCGAACAAATTTTTGCTCGACTTTTTTTGGTTTCCAATTGGCATATTTGCAATTAATTCATGACTCACCGTCGACATCGAACCCATCCACGTCTGTGATCTGGTAGCACTTGTCCGAGTGCGTAGCCGACACGTACTCGTAGCAGTAGTTCCACAGGCCGAAATGAGCCACTGGTCCATCCATCCAGTAGGGTCCGGCTACCGAAGCCACAGCAAACACTATTGTACACACGTGGATTGCCAGAGCAATCAAAAGCCACACGTCCACTAGTATTTTAACAGCCATGTCTTTTTTATCTCTTAATCGAAGTAGAATTTAAATAAAAGTTTCAATAGCCTGTTTTAGTAGAGTGAAAAAGTGATAACTTGAGAGAAAAAAGCTCAAAAAATTAACCGATTCTAAAATGACGATGTTAACAAGCAAATTTGTTTGGCAAAAGCTATTCAAAATACAGCATTGATTACATTCAGTATTTTGTGAAGAATTTGATTTTGTTTTGCTGACAACAATGCTTACAATTCATAGTTACATTATTGTGTTCGAACAGTTTTTTTGCTGAGTAAACTATCAACGTATCATGAGATTTGACGTAATTTAAGTTTTCAAATGAACCAGCTTACGTCAACGTGAATGCTTAGAAGTTAAAAATAATTAATATGCGACCATCGAATGCATATATTTGTGTTTAAATATCCGTATAGTTTTGGTCATTTTTAAAAAAAACTTCAACAAAAATTGCATATTTTTCCTGTGCTCTCTTTCCTTTCAAATCTAGTGAAAATCGGCATCTAACACGCCGTCAGAAAAAAAATTTCTGACGGCACGTTGGATGCCAATATTCACTAGAATTAAGCAGCAAAATAACACTGGAAATTATGCAGTTTTTGTTGAAATTTTTTTTCTAATAGAAGATCTAAAGAGTTTTTTCTAATATGTTGGCAGAGGCGTCTTAGGTCTTTTATTAAAAATTTTTTAATACAAGACCCAAAACGTCACTTTTTCTAATATGTAAGCATGCGGCATTAGCATGTTAGTAATCTTTTTCCTTAGACCTAAAAATGAAAGACCTAAAAATCAACAGTCGACACAAAACTTTTAATTCTTTATTGAAAAAATTTCACAAAAAGTGCTGCACCAGATATCAATTGGAAGCATCCAAACCTAAGTTGGAACCGGATTTATTATTATAATAATATTATAATAAATTGTTTCCAAACGATATCTAGTTACAAAGTTATTTATGAAAATTTATAAGAACAAATTAGAATCGTTTGGGAGAACACCATTAAGCCAACATGGCCCGTTTTCAGGTGTCTCATTAAGCGGAGAACAAGAAAAGTAGTTAAATTCTTCGATCCAATGCAATGGAACTTCTACCGGTGAGCACTTATTAAACGTAAAGCCTCTTTATTCGCACCTTTAAACCATTCTCTATATAGAAAAAAATTGATTTTATTATTTTGTTTTCTCGGGTAGTCTTTTCTACCCATAACCTAGAAACCGACAGAAACAAGTTCTACTTATTGATCAATAAAATGTCTCAAAGCATGCCCAGTAAAACCGTATTTCCTAGAATGTATTTTTCCTAAAATTTATGATTAAAACTACAGCCCGAAATGGTTTATTACAGCCCAAAATCAGTTGTTTCTTCCTGGAACAAAAAATCGGAGAAGATACTGAAGGCTTATTTGCAAATTTTGGATACATTTTCATAAGGATGATCAAACTTACAAATTTCAAAATGTAGTTGCTCAGCTTATGTATAGGATACAAACATCATGTACGAGAGCAGCGAATGCAAAAATTGTTTTTATGAGGGAAGTTTTAAATCAAAAAGTAACTCCATTCAGTTTCGAAACAAATCAATTTTTTGGATCACGGAAAACATGCCAACAACTCTGAATTGCCTAGATGCTATGAATTGCTTACTAAATACACGAAAAAAGAGGAAAAACGGCAATGATGTTTGATGGGTATTTAATAGTGTCGACTGGCTTTAAAAAGCTTGTATCGACTGAGAAATTTTGACCTTTTTTTCAAAAAACACGACGGACTTTTCCGGCTCGCTCGGGTTACAACGGGACTGATTACAGATTTCAATCACATGAAAACTTTGTTTTGGTACCCTATCTCTTTAGCCTTTTTAAAAATCATTATAAAATTTAAGAGCGTTTTGATCCTCAAGAGAAAAATTTTTTCAAATCATTTTTTTTTATTTTTAGCATTTTTGATCAGAAAAGTAATTTTTGGTAGATAAAACTCAATTTTCTGCTCACAGCATTTAATAAATGAATTAGATCAAGACATCAATGGCTTCTATAATCCAAGAAGTTTTTGCGGTCAATCGCCAGCGTAGAACGGGGCCATCTTGTGTTGCAAGCGCATTCGACTTGAATAGATTAAGATTTTTTGTGGTGAGTACGTTGATTGTCACTTAACTACACTTGAATCAAGTTGATACTAATCTAACGGGGTACGGACAGTTACAGAAGAGGAACTATCTTCAGTTTTGAGAACATTCAAGTTTTTGTTTCGTGGATCAGATTGTGGCCGGTTATCAATTTTATGCCTGATTAACTATATACTATAGGCTTGTTTGAAAACCAAAACGGTGATTTTTGAAAGCAAATAGTAGCCTGTAGAACTTGATGGAGTTTTTTTTGTACAGAGGACACCCAATTGAGACCATGCGGCAGTAACCAATGAACAAGATCATGAGGGGCTTCAGCTTACTTAAACGCAAATTAAAACCCACATCAGCAATGCTTTACAAAAAACCATACAAAAGCTCTACAAAAATTCTTGATTGAAAAGTATCAAAACTCTTAGAGCACATTTTTCTCAACAACCAGATAGCTCGTGTAAGTTGCTCTGTTTGTGTTTTTGAAAACAATTTTATGTGAATTTTTGTTATCAAAAAACTAGCACTTTAATATCCTGTGAACATAGCCACTGAACCAATAACGACTATCATTATCTTCTTAATCATGATATTGTGTTTTTGCCATTAAAAGTGGACTATAAGTTTGTACCAGCTAACCCTAGACGAAGGTTAAGCTAGTATTATATACAAAAGGATGACTTCAAGCTCTAATACGCTTTGCAATGGTATCTAGGCTAACGGAGCTAGAAGAAACCTGCTGAAAAAACTTCTTCTAAAAAACCGTTGTGACTATGTTTGAATTACTATTAAGCGCTGCAACGCATCTGTAATTATAAATTTCGTTTTGTTCTCATTTTTTTAACATGGTATCTGATGATAACAGTGTATAGCGCTGTGGTTTTTTTTTCAACTTCTGGTATTACTCCTTTTCCGAAAGAGACGTTCTGCTCAAGGAAAGGAAAAAATTATGTGTGCTTTTGCAATCGCGATTTTTGTTCTGAATTTTGAAGAAAACGGAATTTTTATGCTTGGAGTGGTTTTTTATTCAGTCATTTTTCGGCAACCGAAATAATAGTTTCTAACAAAAGAAATTTCAAATCCCATCAGACGTCGACTCCTTGAAATCAAATCTAAAAAACATTCTTACTTCCGTTCATTTTATTCAAAGTTCTGGTAGTTTGAAAAACGCCTATTTGGCCATGCTCTGGAGATTTTATTTATAATGCTGAAATCGCGCAGCAAATTATTTATGCTTTGCGAATTATCTGGCGCAACAAATTCGTTCCAAACTGAATTGAGGCTAGCTAAGAAGTCGTATTAATTTCGTATGACTCAAATTTTCACATATGATCTTTGATTTTGTTCAAAATTATAATTTTTCAAAAAATTTTTTCCCAAAAACTGTCTGAAGTCTGAACATTCAGGGCAATCAGTCTTGTTTACCAATTTTAGGCATAAGCGGACGAATTGGTTCTTCTGCTCGCAAAAGTTAACATGGTTTTTCGGTTTGCATTGGTGGCCTCTAAATGAAAACTGAACAAATACCCGAGGAGCGTTTTTGTTTTGTTTCTACTCCGCATGCATTTAGCATATTTCCGCGTTTTGCAATTCATGTCAACACATGGTGGCTATCATGTTAACAGATGGAATCGAAAATTCAAAAATCTGTTTTAGTTGCATCGGTGGCCTCTAAATGAAAACTGAACAAATACCAGAGGAGCGTTTTTGTTTTGTTTCTACTCCGCATGCATTTATAGTATTGCGGCGTTTTGTAAATCATGTCAACAGATGGTGACTATCGTGTCAACAGATGGAATCGAAAATTCAAAAATCAGCTCTGATTGTTCATGGGTTTCAGTTGTTTGCTAAGTCACTTACTGAAACCAATACAAACGGATTGTGTCAGAATTTTAATTACAAAACTAAATTGCCCTCACTAATACCCATCAGGTACCCTCACTAATTTCGATCGACTAAATCGATTAAATAATACTTGTTAAATTGAGTAAGGTTGGTCATTTAGGCTGAGATAAGTTGTTTTGCTAACAAAAACTAACTTTGAAAACTTCAGTTAGCATTTCCTAGACAAAAAAAAACTTGTCGAAAACCTTTTAAAAAACTTTTGTGCAAAAAACAAATAGAAATTTTTGAAGACAACTGTTTCCAATATGCCTGATTACAATTTTTCTACGCGTTTGTATAGTTTTCTCATCCAATCACGCACAAGGAGCTACACTAATTTGAAAAATCTATAAACATTTTCTTTTTTAGGTTTTTATGAATGTGGTCGGAACTCTGTGCAAATTGCACAGCAATCGGATATCTTTTTTCAACAATGCGATTCAAATGTGGGAGAAGAATGGGAGAATAGAAACGTGCGACAAAACTCATCAGGTCTGAGTGTATAATGGAAAAGAGTCGTCTATTTTTTTTTATCTGGGGACTACAGGGTTTTCAGATAGATGTAATAAGTAATACACCATTTAGTTTCACGATGAATCACCCTACAAAAAAAACTTTTTTTGTGTTAACCTGAGCAGATACAGCCAATTTGTGCCAATGATTCAAAGGTTTAATTCAAAAAGTTTTCAACACTTTTTTTGCGGTTTTATGAACTTTCACTGCACTTTGTGCTGAACAAGGTACTATAGTGTTGAGTTAAAACAACCGGATGACATGAAGTAAAACTGAATTTTCAAACTCTTTTTTCTCAATTTCAGTAGTATTTGGCCAAAAAAGGATGCCAACAAATATTGCTTGGAATTTCACCAGCTTTTTTATGGTGCATTTTTTGCAAGTGTTGGGACCCAAATTATACCCGGGTCAATAAAACAGGTCAATTCATTTTGTTGAAAATTGAAGAGGACAAAAGACTTGATATAAGAATAAAAACAATTTAGCCTTTGAACTTTCTCAATTTTGAACAAAATGAATTGACCCGTTTCGAGGGTGTAATTTTAGCAAAAAAAACTGCACCACAAAAAACTGGTAAGAATCTAACCAAGTTTTGTCCACGTCATAACGATACTACTGAAATTGAGAATAACCATTTTGAAAGCTCAATTTTGGTTCATTCAATCCGGTTGTTTTAATTCAACACAATAGCATCTTGTTCAGCACAAAATGTAGTGAAATTTCCTGAAACCGCAAAAAAAAACGTGTGAACAAGTTGTTGAATTAAATC